TCGATGAGTTAGCTTTGGTTTTTTGGGGTTGAGACGGTGCATCCCAATTCCATTTGCATCAAATCCTTTCCATACTTTCTGCATGATTCTCATCTCGTTCTTTTCAGAAATCGATCTGTAAAACGCTGCTTTGTTCTTAAATTACCTTTAATGTTACGTATTGCATCCTGATAGAAGCTTTTCACGAATTCATATTTCCAGAGGGATGTTTTGACTTTGATGGAATATACCTATCATAGAAGTGCTTCAAATTTCTCAGGTTTGCTTTCTTCTGTTTTTTTTGATCTTTTTTCATTTTTTTAACTGACTCAAAAACTCAAAGACTCACAATTCTTGTTAGAGACTCAAAAAGACTACACAAAGCTCTAAATAACGAATTGAAAACTTAACAAACAAAATAAAAATTTGACATTACAACTTGACAACACAACCTAGGACTAAATCCTAATTGCTCTGTATACACAATTGGTGGGGGGCAAGAAATATAGAGGAGCCTATAACCTCGCCACGTCATGAATAAGATACCGAACAAAGACCCCCGACTTAAATCCACGAAATATGACGAAGAAGAAGGGGACAGAAGGAACAACACTCTTACATTTACAAATCTATAGACCGACTTAGAGATTAAAAAACAAAATTACAAACGACTTACACAATCGACTCGAAATCAAAAGACACCCTAAGAGTTGCTTTACCAGCAGAAGGGGTTATAAGTGGAAGTGAGCAACTATGCGGAGAGAACGAAAGAGATTAGAAACGAGCGGAAAGGTTTGGAAAAGAGCTCGGCAGATTTCGGAGGGAGATGAGAAAAGAAGTAACGGACAAAGCCGCAGCTTTTTCCAGAAACCGCAGTTTTACATTTCCAAAAATACACATAATATTCACTCCTCTAAAACAATAACAATACCCCCATATATATAGGTATGAAAGCGGAATAACAAGAGACTCCCTAATAAATCCATAGGAATTTCTAAAAGACAAAACATTAAAAACTTATTGCTTTTTTTCATAAAAAAACACTCAAAGCCAAGCGAACCAAAGCGAGCACACCACGGGAGACGGAGGCTGCACGGAACCGAGGAGCCACAACACAGGGAAGAGCCAACGCAACGGAAACAGCGGACCGCCGAAATCAAAGAAGGCAAGGCACGGAAACACAGGCCGGCCAAGGGGGAAGCCAAGGAAGCACCGCATAGGTGAATATCATATTCTTGGAATTCCCAAGCCAGGTTTGGAATTCCAAGAGACCTAAATAATTAAAAAATAAAAAGCTTAAAAAGTAACATTTATATAAATAAATATAACTAGAAATCATAGCTAAATAATGAGCTAACCCTTAGTAATAAATGACTAAAGACCCAGCACATAAATGATCTAAAATTTAGCTCAAATGATGAAGCTTGTAAACCGGGGAAGACAAAAATCAATTTATTTTGGGGATTGAGTTGCCCCATCCTTTTAGTCTAACACCACTAAATTGTTGTTTTATAGTTATCTGGCTTCCATATTTTTCTGTTGCCAATTAGTGCGCGTTCAGTAGTGCTAATTTTCTGAAGAATGAGATAGCAAAAAGGTGTTAGATCCGTGGTCCAGCCGTCAAGCGGGACCGGTTCACGGAGGAAATCGCGAACAGGCGGGATTTCCGACCTATCGGAAAGGAGAACGAAAGCGGAGCGACACGCAATTCAACAGACCGCGTTTTAGGAAGGATTTTTGGGAAAGTGTTCAGAGAGAAATTTGAATGTAGGGGCTGTATTATGGGATTTCCATTTTGATTTGTTATGCCATTAATAGTTTAATTTTTTCTAGGTATTTGGACAATCTTGAATTTGGCTGAAATTTGAGAATCTCGTAGAAATAAGAGATTTCTTCATGGGCCTAGCAGGCGTCTAGAGATTATGGGAAATGAATCACTCTCTCGAAATTGAGGATACAGTATATTTGCTAATTTCCTTGCAATACTAGTATAAACACAAGTTTTTCTCGGATTTTCTGGCAGTTTTTTCCTTGCTTTCCCTACTGTTTTTGGCGTATTTTTCTGCTGTGGACAGCAATTTTACATTGGAGTCTACTTGATTGTTTTTGGTGAGAAACATTGAAATCAAGTGTTTCCTATCAATTGTATCAGAAGCAGTCGATTATGGGACCACCGGACAGGCTGAAATTACTGGAAATTCAGCAAGTTTTAATCATTTCCGGAAGTGATATTATTTGAGATCCATTGGGGAAGAAAGATGGCGGAAGAAGGTTGAAACATCTTGGAAGGCGAAAGTCGGTCAACAAGTTGAAAGCAGTATTTGGAAGGGAAGAGATTCTTCAAACTTAAAAATCAAATCAAACTCCAACAATGAAAAAGGTGAGGGGAAGTTCACAGCAATGGAAGGAAATATTTGAAAGAAACGAACTTGAAACTGAACCAATCTGCGACATGGAAGTAAGAGAGATCGACCGGACCAGGCCAATGGCATGGGAGGAAATCGAACCGACTTGCGGGGGAGGAGAGAATGTGGAGGTAGGAGTATTTCCTACGAGGAAGAGAACGACAGATGTCTCTGAACTTTATGAAGCCACCTTTCGATGGGAGTTAAGAGACTGTAGGGAGCATGGGATATGACAGAAGGGAGGGCTGAATTTTGCTAGGGAGAAGAGAGGGGTTAGAAGCGTTGAACTATGCAGAGGTGTTGAATTCGAAGAATTCGAGCTTAGCGTCGAGAGGGGGGGATTTTAAAAGGAAAAAGAAAGGAGGAAGTTATGAACGGTATGCAGAAACCGGCTCGTCTGTCCATCCGATTTGAAAAGGTAATTCAAGCGTCGAGGTGAAAATGAGGTTTGAAGGGAGGAATTAAGGAGAGTATGAAAGAAGGGGTTTAGAGTATAGAATTTCGTAACAGGATGGGACGATCGGGACAATTGGGAACGACCTCCTCTGAGGGGAATGGGGAGGCTTAATGGAGGTAGTATACCGGGGAGATCCAAGGTGAGGAATTAGAAGATGCCATTTTCTGAGGGGTGTAGAATCTGACCGGGCCATGTTTTTTTGGGCTAGGATCCTAACAAGGTGGAAAGTAGAGGCGTTACTTTGGCGGGGTCACTGGGTTGACCAAGAGGATTTGAGAGCCTTTGAAAAAAAACCCGGGCCTTGTATCTGAGCGAGGTATTGTAAGGTTCCTGGACAGGAATCAGGCTTTGGGCGAAATAAATTGGTCAGCAGTGATTGGCCTTAGGGTGAACAATGGAACTATATAGGTAATTGATTCAATGTTGTATGAGGTACTACATTATTTGTATGATACGCTGGGAGAAGCCTAATCGAGTGTCGTCGGCTGAAATTTGAGATCTCTTAGATTTAGATTTCTTTGGGCTCTAGCGGCGTCTAGAGATTTGGGAGAGATCGATCCTCCTCTCGAATTGAGGATCAATTGTATCTTTGCTATTTCCTTGCAACTACTAGTAAAATACAAGTTTTTTCTCGGATTTTTCTGCAGTTTTTCCTGCTTTCCTACTGTTTTTGGCTGTTTTTCTGCTGTGGACAGCAATTTTACATTGGATCTACTTGGTTTTGGTGAGAAACACTTGGAAATCCAAGTGTTTCCTATCAAAAGGTTTTTAATTTTTCAAGAATCTGTGAATGTTTGCTGTTCGGCCTTAACTTTGCTGGTGATTTTATTTCTATGTGGCTTTGCGCTGCTACTCTGTTTGCTTTTTTGTGGTTAGTGTACGTTTTGCTTACTTGTCTTATTGCTCTGTCCTTCTGTACGAGGCTGCTTGCTAGCTTTTAGGTGATTTCTTATTGTTTACAGAGCAACATCGCATCTAGCTTTTAGGTGATTGCTTATTGTTTACATAACAACATCTTTTGACGGCTTAAAGTTTCAAAGTGCTTATTAATATTTGATGTAATATGTGAATTTTTACAATAATTTTATTTTTCTATGGAGGTGGCAACGATTTAATACCTTGTAATGTTTTCTTAGTTTTATTGTTTAGGTTGTCTAAAATTCTAGGCTTTTTTGCTTTGTTTGTGCTTTGTACTTTGAAGAATATATTGCCTTTGAGCGTTGCATTGCGCCTTGCACGTTGGCAGCACTAGATGATATGTTCAGTGATGATTAGATGTACTTGGCATATTGGACTTTTGTAGCTATGTCAGAAATGAGAATTAATAGGAATTAAAGTTTTAAAGAGAGGATTTTCTGTCCCCATTCATCCGTTTCTCTGTTGTTTGTTGTATTCCTTGCATTATTTTTATTGTTGTTAATTTTGCCCCCTGCACAATTGATTTGGAGTCCTGTTTTATAGAAATGACAAAAAATCATGTGGTGTTGCAGCGTGAGTACATCCGAGGCATCAGTGCTTGGAATTTTAATATTGAAGACTTGAAATCCCAGGCAGCCCAAGTTAGTATTCAAAATAGTTTATATTTGGCATGATTATTATATTATATTGGATGCGTATTGATTGAAGTTATTTGCAGATCCAAGAGGAGACGCCCAATTTAGAATTAGATGTGAATCATCGTACTAATTATGCAAATGATTCTGTACAGCAGATTGCTTCTTATGAAACAGATGATGTTGCCAATGTTGTCACATCAAGGAAGGTAAAATGGCAACTAAAGTGATTCCAGAGTATATACTATTATCTTTTGAAAGATTTTAGTTAATTTTGTTTTATTTATGCTAGTTGATAACCATTAATGTTGTTTAATACTATTTCTCTTTATTAGGAAAAGTTTCAAGATCTTCAAGATTTTGATGGTCTTCTCAGCACTGCCTTTCCTATTCGTCCTCTTAAAGCACTTGAGTATGCTATAATGGTTCTATGTTCATTTTAAGATATGTGTTTTCAATTTGTTGATTCATTTGTTTCTTTCAACTTGAGTTACTGTGGGTGACCTTTTCAAGTAGCATAAACTTGGTTGAAAATGAGTAATTGATCATGCTTTGCTAAATGCAGATGAATTGATAATGCTATATTTTATTTGTAATAACTAGCAATAATATTTTAAATTTGACTGGTAATACATTTATTCTGTAGAGGCTATTTTGATGTTCCTGAGGATGAGATCAAAGATGCAAGCCCCAATGGGCAGGTTGGCATGCAGTTGGATTCAGAACCACTAATCCTTATGAATCAGGGATCACATGAAGTCAATTCAGAAAGTAAAAATACTCGTGCTGAGAATTTAGAAAACAGCACTTTCGTGGTCAAACACTTGGATGTTTCTGGACGGCAGAAAGTTTTTAGTGGTTCACTTCTACCAGAACATCTACTTTCACATGCAAGGAATACTGCTCTACCCACCGAGAGGTAAACTTATACTTCACAGTAACGTTAACATTAAGAATATAGTTTTTATGATTAACTTTTCCTTTTATGAGGAAAAGAAAAGCGACATACGTTTTTATGTTTCTCTTTCTCTGTTGAGCTTTCATACTGCTTGTGTTTCCAGGACATTATGACATGGACGGACTAGAAACTGCAAATTGGTTCACATTATTTTAGTTAAATTATGTGATCCCATTAAGTCTTTGTATTTGTTAGTCATTCAAAAGTTCGAGGCTTCTCATTGGAAAATTTACCCCCTTATTTGTTTATTAATATAGTATGTTTGTATTGAAATGAATCCTATACGTTGTTGTTAGACCGGCCCAGGATGGGCCGGTTGGACCGGTCCAGCAGGGACCGGTCCGCGTCTACGCGAGACGCACGCGAGAGAGCCGAACGGGCGGAAACGGCTCTGCCGTGAGCCGTGGAGTTTAGGAGGGAAATTTTGAACGTAAAAGGCTGTTTTAGGAAGTTTATGATTGTCCTTTATGATTAATTTTGTATAATTAGGAGTTTGGGGGGAATTATCTCCTCATCTTGAATTTGAGTTTTCTCTTTGAGATCTAGGTTTTGTTTTGGGCTCTTGGCTTCGCCGGAGACTTTGGAGAGTACGTTCTTCCTCTCGAATCGAAGAACAAATTGTATCTTTGCTATTTTCATCATCTACTAGTAAAATACCGGTGTTTTCTCCTAGTCTCCAGCAGTTTTCCTCGTTTTTTCTACTGTTTTGGGCTGATTTCCTGCTGTGGACAGCAGCTCGCCTTGAGTTTTGTTGCTAAAGTGATTAGGGAATACTTGAAATCAAGTATTTCCTATCAGTTGCCTAGGACATATCAATTACAATCAAAATATACTCATGTGATCTGAAATTCTGCATAGTTGTTTATGACCTTTCAATCTTTAGTTTGAGCTACTCATTATTTGAAAAATTTTTTAGCTGTAGCTTTGATAGAATATTTAGTCTAGCATAAAATGTTTGTAACGATTTTGCTGGTATCTTCCTTTTTTCTTTTGTTGGCTGATGAGTTTGATTACTTCTTTGAAATTCTTGAATAATATATGAATTTTTTAGTGTGAGCATTTTAGATTGATGTTGATTCATGAATTCTTTAATTATCCTCAAGTGCTTTTTATTAAATTTTAGGGATGAATTACACCAGAAGTATCATAGCGAAAAGAATTACAGTGGGCCCTTATTAAGTCGTCATTCCTCCAACCATTCATCTGGTCTGAACTTTAACTTGTTGCTTCTTCATATTTTTCTAGTAATATGAAATGCTTTCAGTTCATAGTTTATTTTAAAATGCTGATTCTTATTTCCTCCTGGAAACAATAATGTCATGGTTATGAAGTGAATTTGAATGATGAATCATCAGAAGGACGAGTTTTTCAACGTAAGGGGCGTTTCAAGGTTACTTCATCAGATGCTGGAAATAAGGTATGCATTATTTACAAAGTAGAACTCTAACGATTAAAACAAGGTATTTGGCTCGCAGGCTGGACTGTTAGTATTGATGGTCTTATGAGCTCACTAAAAGAGCTTAGGCAATATCATAATAACGTTTTTGACTTTAGATATTGATGTTCTTTTCGCTCTAGTTGTCAAATGTACTGTGTTAACATTACTGTTCTAAACATCCGGTGGATTGTAAGCCCAAATCAAGCCCTTGATAACAATGGCGTTTTTGTGCACTTGCTGAGGCTCATAAAAATTTGGTGGATGGATTTCTTGTTATCATTCGTAATACATGTAACCTATTTTGGTAACTTAAATTTCTGCCATGTACGCTAGTAAATTGAGTGATGGGTGGTGGTTAGAAAAAGTTTTCTTATGCATGTCTTCTACAACAACAACAACATCATCAAGCCTTTATCCCACTACGTGGCGTCGGTTACATGAATTTATTTTCTCCATTATGTCATGTTAAGAGTCAAATTCTCATTTAAATCTAATAAATGAATGTGATTTCTAATATTCTCTCACCTAGTCTTTTTAGGTCTATCTCTACCTTTCTTTAGATAAGCCAAATTTAATACATATACTTTCCTAACAAAGTCATCAGAAGGCTGCCATTTTATGTAACCAAACCATCTTAGGCGGCTCTCTCTAATCTTATCTTGCACAGGAGATATTCCATCCTTTTAACGTATATGCTCATTTCGTATCCTATCTCTAAGAGTAAAGTCGCTCATCCACCTAAGCATCCTTGTCTACGCAAGACTTAATATTATGCTTCTCTTTTAATGACCAAAATTTTGCACCATAAAGCATTGCAGGTCTCACCACCGTCTTATAGAATTTTCCTTTTAAGTTCGAGGGAGACTTTTCTATCACACAACTAGCCTGGTGTATTCAGCTCCCGCTCTAGTCTTATCAACAAGAAGAATATTATCAACAAAAAGCATACGCCAGGGTATAACCTCTTGCAAATGTCTAGTGAGAACATCTATGACTAAATCAAAAAGATATGGGCTTAAGGCTGATCCTTGATGTATATCTTCTGCAATTGGAGAATATTTATTTTGTAACAAAAAAATCTTTTAGCTTTTGGAGAATATTACAAAATATTTATTTTGAGAAATGATTATATTGGGTGAGTTACACGGGTTGCATCAAATAGTTTTGTTAAGGCTAATGATGATGACAACAATGTTATATTTCTTAAACTTTGGTAAGTTGCAAAATTATTTGGGCATTCTTTAATTTTGGAAAATAGTTTAAGTTCTCATGCGATTGCCAATATGTAGAGGGCGGGCTTGGAACAATGTTTAGGTTTCTTTTTTTTCTTTGGTGACCTGGAGGCCATGGATTCAATTCATAAAAGCAGCCTTATGCAATGTTAAGAGGAAGGTCGTGTATGCCAATCCCTTCCAGACCACACATTGGTTGGAGCCTCATGCACTTGATATGTTCTATTACACAAATATTGCCACATGGAAAATATTGATTTTAAATTTTATCAGTATTGGGGCCAAATTTTATCAAAATATTAATGTGCCAACTAAAAGATGTCAGATGAGTGGAGAAGGGGTGTGTTAATTCCTATTTTTAAGGATAAAGGTGATGCACAAGAGTGTGCAAAATATAGGGGAATTAAGTTGACATGGCATGCTTTAAAATTTCGTGAGAGAGTTATTGAGCATATGTTACGACATGCTACTAATGTTTCTCGAAATCAATTTGGATTCATGCCAAGTAGGTCTACTATGGAAGCTATACATTAATTGAGAGGTTTGATGGAAACGTTTTGGGAGAATAAGGAGGATCTACATATGATATTTAAAGCTTATCATAAAGTTCAAAGAAAAGTGCTATGGAGTGTTTTAGAAAAGAAAGATGTTAATAATACTTATACTCAAGTCATTAAGGATTTGTATGTGGTAGTTGTTACTTGTGTTCAAACACAGGGAGGTTGGACCAAGTATTTTCCTATTTCAATTGGATTACATCAAGAAGGTCAACCTTAGGGTCTAAAGATTTTCGTTTTGAGTAGATCTAAAACTGAATATGGAGTGTAATTTTAGTAATAATAGATCTAGTGGGGGGATTGTGATTGGGCGATCAAGTTATTAATAAGAGTGCATATTTTAGATATCTTGGGTCTATTGTTCAAAGTGATGGTGAAATAGATGGGGATATTATTAGTAGAATTCAAGTTGGATGGTTGAAGTGGAGGAATGCATCGTGCTTGTTGTGTGATAGAAAAGTCCTCTTTAAACTTAAGGGAAATTTCTATACGATGGTGGTGAGACTTGCAATGCTTTATGGTGCAGAATGTTGGCCATTAAAAGAGAAGCATAATATTAAGTGATATTAAGTGTTGTAGAGATGTGATGCCCAGGTGGATGAGTGGCTTTACTCTTTGAGACAAGGTACAAAATGCGCATATACGTGAAAAAGTTGGAGTAGCTCCATTGGAAGATAAGATTAGAGAGAGTCGCCTTAGATGGTTTGATTATGTAAAATGGTGGCCTGTCAATGACCTGGTTAGGAGAGTAGATGTATTAGATTTGACTTATGCTAAGAAAGGAAGAGGTGAACCTAAGAAGACTTGGTTAGAAAATATTAGAAATGATATTTCTTTATTAGATTTAAATGAGCATTTGACTCTTAATATGACACAATAAAGAAAAATGATTCACATAACCCATCGTATGTAGTGAGATAAAGGCTTGATGTTGTTATTGTTTTTGTTGTAGTTGGATTACATCAAGGACCAGCTTTAAGTACGTATCTTTTTTCTTTAGTCATGAATGTTTTTACTTGACATTTGCAGGAGGATGTACCCTGAAGTATGCTTTCTGCTGATGATATTCTTCTTGTTGATAAGACTAGAGAGGGAGTTCAAGGTAAACTTGAATTATGGAGGTCAACCTCAAGAGTATAAAGGTTTTCGTTTGAGTAGATCTAAAACCAAATACATGGAGTGTAATTCTAGTAGTAATAGACCTGATGGGGGATTGTGATTTTAGGCGATCAAGTCATTAATATGAGTACACATTTTAGATATCTTGGGTTTATTGTAAAGAGTGATGGTGAAATAGATGGTGATATTATTAATAGATTTCAAGTTGGATGGTTGAAGTGGAGGAATGCATTGGGCCTATTGTGTGATAGAAAAGTACCACTCAAAATTTTGGTAAATTTTTTTAAGATGGTGGTGGACCTGTAATACTTTATGGTATAGAATGTTGGCTATTAAAAGAGAAGCATACAATTAAGTTAAGTGTTACAGAGATGAGGATGCTTAGATGGATGAGTGGCTTTACTCTTATAGATAGAATGTGAAATGAGCATTTATGTGAAAAGGTTAGATTAGCTCCAGTGGCATATATGATTAGAGAGAGTCACTTTAGATGGTTTTGTCACATAAAATGTTAACCTTCTAATGACTTGATTAGGAGAGTTGAAGTATTAGATTTTGCCTATGTTAAGAGTGGTAGAGGTATATCTAAAAAGACTTGGTTAGAAAATGTTAGAAATGACATTTTTTTATTAGATTTAAATGATAATCTGACTCTTAACATGATGCAATGAAGAAAAAGGATTCATGCAGTCGACTTCTTGTAGTGAGATAAATACTTGATGATGTTATTGTATTATTGTTGTGCCAATCAACTAAAAGTGTAGCATTATATATAAAATTAGTTAAAATCAAAGCAATTAATGCATTAAAAGATAGGTAAGTGCAAATTTTTATTCATTTTATTGAATTTAATCTACTGAGAAGAGAGTATATCTAATGCGTGGGATTATCCAAAAGAAACAATATTCATGCTAAAAATCTCCCATGTATAAATCATTTTTAGTTGGGATTTAGGTTGTGATTCCCTTATAATCACTTAAATGAACTTATTTTTTGAAGCATTCATTATTCATTTATGGAACATTTGCATATTCTTATTCATTTGTTATTTCTGAAGGTGAAAATTCCTACACTTCACAACATAGTTATGTAGATAGGGATAAAGCACACAATGCTTAAGAGGAGATACCTCAACACTTAACAATTTTTTCAATAGCGTGATGTTTAGATGCTTGAGAACTACATGTTGGAAGAGCGAGAAAAAATGTGGGTTTATGTTTAATAAAATACTTGAATGCTTGGTTTTTTTGCTTGGATTAAAAGGATATTTATGTGCTAAAACCACGTGCAAAAACTTAACTAGTCATTGCTCAAAGTAACATAATAATCGTCATGTATGTTAAGATTTGTACTAGCCATTATGTCGGGCAATGGATGAATTATATATATATGTTATTTACAGAACTTATTATCGAGAGACCAGCCATATATTCAGTCGAATAACCGTATTTATTTAAGATTAGGTCTTAAGGGTCAACTTGAATGTGTCCATAACTAGAGTTGCAAGCAACATAAGTGAACACTGACTTGTCTGTCTATTTACATTCATGAGCACAATCGTATGTTATTTAACAAATAACTCACCAAGAGCTGAATGAAATACCCATTTGATTATGATTTTTTTTTTTGGTAACTTATTCTATGTTATGATATCAATATTCTTATTTTATATAGACTTAAAATTTTTTTTAGTGTTAATAGAAGTATAAGTATCATAAATTTTTGAGCAAATAGTTAGATGGATAGATTAAATATCTCATCTATTTATTTACATCATTACCATTCTATATATTATTTAGTTAGCTTGGTCAACGCTTTATTACGATGTCAACTCGATAATTGAATGTGCTTGAAGAAGAATTTGAAACTAGTGTCATGTTCCAGCTCTAATTGAGCTTGATAATAAAATATGAACTAGTATGAATGATGTAGTATTTAGTTTGACTTATTCATTTTCATCCTAATCCTTAAGACAAAGCATGTATAGTCATCGGGCTCATATGTATGATTTAAGCTCATTATACATTTTTTATTAAAACCGATAAACATATCTGTTTAATAAGTTTTTTAGAATAGGTGGAAAATTTTCATTTATATTTTCCCATAATATATACTTTTTTGGTAAGAACATTTTTTGAGAAAATTTTGAAAGTAAATTTTTCGAAAGAAAGAATTTAATAATAGGCATTAAGTTGATTATCAGTTTTAAGCTAGTAATAATGAGCTGAAGTCCCTCTTATCTATCAAGAATTTACATAAATTCCCTAAGAAAAAGGAAGAAACAATTAGAGTTAACTCAAATATGTCTGGAATTCTCAAAATAGTAAGTAAGCTAATTGGAGCTAGCACAATTTAGGTGAGAAACATAAATACTCTCTCAAGATGTCTAAATTGTCATGGCATCCTCCAAGTGCCGTTGATGTATTTGTGTTGTTGGACTTGGTCAGTTGGGGTAGCTGTTGTTTTCTTGTCACTATAATGTGCTTTTTCCTTCAAGGTTGCGATATTCAGACTAGACATAGAACCGAAAGAAGGAGAGGTTCAATATTCAATGGTTTGACTAGGGTTGAATTTTTATTATAAATTTTCATTTATAAATTATTAAGATGAGATCATTTATAGTTAATGAATAAATAAATAAATAATTTTATAGTATATAAATAATAAATAACAACAACAACAACAACAACATCAAGCTTTTATCCCACTACGTGGGGTCGGCTACATGAATCCTTTTTCTCCAAAAGTATATAAATAATAAATGAAATATATAATTTATTAACATTGTTAATTAAGAATAAATGCTATTTACATGATAAAGGTTTAGTTAAAAATTCTATTTTAAAATATATATTGTATGTTGTAAACTTGAAAAGCAAGAACTTCAACTTTTTTAGTCTCACATCACTTAGGGAACTTCCTCTTGGAAATGTGAACACTTTATATTGCTTTTGAGTTTGGATGGGGTAAGAAACCATGCTTTCCTTCTTATTATTTTTGGTATTGGTTGGAAGTAAGTTATATTAACTCATGTAAAGATGTGCATTATTAGGATAAAATTGTAAAATTGAATCAATCTCATTTAATAAGTTTGGTTCGGTTGTTGTAGTATTAGTTTGATTATTAGTTGTATTTTTTCGTTTTTCCAATTTTTTGTTATTGGTTTACTTCTTGGTTTTGTAAAGTTGATCTAACTACAAATTGATTATCTTCAAATATTAAATTAACAAAGCCCATTAACTATAAATAAACAAGTAATAAAAATATCAACATGAATATTATTTACTCTACATGACAAACTTATAAATTTTAGGCTTTTAGCAAAGTTTAATTGGCATTTTTTAACACATGTTATTTAAGCTAAAAATAATTAATTTCATTGCTATAGTTAATTGCATTTTGGTTCCAAAACCAAGCAGAACTGACAATTCGAAAAAAATTGATTGGTTCAGTTTTCAAAAATTAATAACCAAAATCAATTGGTTTAGCTAATTCATTTGACAAATTGACCAAACTGACCAACACCCCTATTTTCAGGGTTGTGATTGAGCTCTCTTTTGTGCAGCATCAGTAGATCGTTTTTCTCATTCACTTTTATGACAATCATTTGTACTTGTCTTTCATGTGATGTATGAAGTTTTACCACAAGGACTCATCTTTGTTATGAAGTTCTACTATCAGGATGACCCTATGACATTTCGATCTCTTTTGTTGAAAATGTTCGCTTATAACCCTCTCATTAGGGTCTTATTTTGTTTGTTCATCTGTTGGGTTGTTCTAGAGCATGGTCGTTCATGTATTATATTGACCATAACTCATTGAACTGATCATTTAATTTGATATAACCTTCTATTTCCGCTAAAAAAAAAAAAAATCAAGAAAGAAACATATTGATGTTAAAAGGAGAAAAATTAGAAAGTTGTACCTAGTGTATGGTGCTCCCACTTCTATAGGGTATGAAGAGTTAATATAAAGAATAAGGAACATATTGGCGCATTGGTGAATGATGCACGTCAATAAGGCATGACCTAACTATATAAACAATTTGCAAAAGTGTGAGTTTCGTAAATATATTTAATAATAAATTGTCTTTATTTAGAAAATGTAATCGATTCTCAATTATAGGCAGACATAGTTCATTTTGTGAAATAAAGAAGTGTGACCTACTGTCTCAAGATCCTACCTATATAACTTTTGTGTAAGGGTTGCTGCAAAGAATGACTTGGGTGCAATGGTAGTATGGTACATAATATGTCAGTGCGGTATCTATATGAACAAAGTGCAAAAGAATGAATGCTTGCAAGATATTTAATAGTAAGTTGTCATCCTTTGGAAAATGTAACTGATTCTCAATGATGAGCTTGCCTAGTCTCATTTTATGAAATAAATAAAATGAAACTTTGGATGATTTTGATGTAGAAATATAAGTTAGTTTTGGTAAAATTAGCCGCTATTTTTTCAGGATTTGTTAACTACATCAATAGTTTTGAGAAGCAACATAAATTAGCTAAAAAACGGCACACATTCTTTTGAGACTGCCAACTTGATCTTTTACATTTGTTTCTTAGGTAGCAACATTGGTCAATCCAGCAGTTGGCTTAACTGCAAGTGCTACTTTGGAGGCTGCTACAATCCTTCCAACTTTGCAATTTATATTTCAGCTAAATGTTATTCAAAGGGTATGCATCAGAATGTTTCATTGGAATCATTTGCTTTTATTTTTGTGACTGGTGTTCGTGTCTTTTGTCCCTTTGACAGGAACAAATAGTTAAATTGCTCAAACTTGTGGAACAAGCTTCTGGTATTTCTTGTTCTTTGTCATTGTCATTGTTTTGTTTTATTTTTTTTTTTTTCACATTTTCTTCTTGATGCAATTTTTCCACAATTTCACTTGCTCAGATCATTTTTGTATAAATTCTGTTATTTGGTACAGGTCATCATGTGGAGCCTTCTGGTTTGGGTGGTGGCGAGTTATCACAGGTATGATCTCCGTACTTTTGCTGGCATTCTACAATTTTTATCCTAGTCAACGTGTGTGCAAATTCATATTCTTGTGTTAGAGATCTCATCTGTTGTGAGAGAAATTTTTTTGTTATATCTCATTGACTGAATATAAAAGTCTATGCATGGAAAATATGAAGAACAAAAACGAAATATAATAATTAGGAAAATATTCTCATTTATGAGAATACATTACAGATTTACAGCAATAATAATTCTTTCCCATGCAATACATTCCTACGATAACACCCTCTCAAACTAGAGCATATACATCAATAAATTCCTGCTTGTTACAAATATTAGAAAATTAAAAAGGTCCTAGTGATGAGGACATCGATCCAAGGTTCAAACAGGTGTATTGCCGGAAGCATCGCAGATCGACAGCCACGATTCAGAGCTTATATTTTTAGTTATTATGCATTTTATTTTATGTATTCCTTTTTGTACCCTTATGTTGAGTTGAGTCATGTTGGGGCC